TGATAATATCTATTACTATCAAGGATTATCAAAGGATATTATATCAAATAGAGGGACTTAATTTATATCAAGACTTTAGAAAATCCTATTTAAGATTCTAATGATGGATATAAAGCTTTCTTTGGCTTTTTATCTTCAAATTAATGGATAAACAGAATGGATGAATCAAGTTTTGGAACAATATTTGAGGTATATCATTAACTATCATCAAGATAATTGGACAACTCTTTTGCCTTTGGTAAAGTTTACATACAATAATTTGATACATTTTTCTACTCAATAAACATCTTTCTTTGCCAATTATGGTTATTATCCATGACTTGATACTTTTGACTTTTTAAAAATTGACAATCTTGCGGCAAAAGATTTAACAAATCGTTTGTCAAAGCTACATGCAACTTAAGAATGACAAAAACCAACACGGATGACTATCGCAAGGAGCAACCACAATTAAATGTAGGTGATAAGATATGGCTATTTCATTGTAATATCAAGACTACTTGTCCTTGTAATAAGTTAGACTATTGTAGGCTAGGATCTTTTCTTATTTATAAACAAATCAATCATATTATTTTTTTATTATATCTATCGGAGTCTATCAAGATCCACCTTATGTTTCATGTATTCTTTCTTGAGCTATATAAGATAGTGAATATCTTGAGAAGAAGACAAATACCACCTCTTCTTATAGAAGTGGATAATAATCAAGAATTTTAAGTGGAAGAAGTTTTAGACTCAAAGCAACGCCAAAATAAATTAGAATATCTTATTCATTGGCATGGATATGATATTAATGAATACATATGGAAGCCAGTAAAGAATCTTACAATTGTAGCAAAGAAAGTTGAAGTCTTTCATCAATAATATCCATCAAAATCAAGATAAAGAATAACAAATCTTTCCTATAAAAGAAATAAGATTAAAGAAAGATTATATTCTACCTTTTATCTTTCTTTGTAGCTTCTATGTATTTGTAACACTAAAAAGATGGAGAACCAACAACTAGTAGATTCAACTCAAGAGCTTTTATTTACGAACTTATTAAATAAGACATTGTGATTGTCACAACCTTTAAGATGACAAAATTAAGATGAAGACCGTCAAGAAAGACATGTCCTTCCTCAAACAGATGGCGAGATATAACATGTTTGATATCACGACCTTGGAAGAGACTCTCATTGTTTAGTGATTTTATTAGAAGTAAGAACAATTTTTCATAGTATTCCAAATGTTTTATTTGAAGGAAGTCACAAATGCCTGAATAATGATCAAATAATAAGGTGGTCTTCTTGCCTTGATATAAGATATTATTGATGGATGAGAAGGCCTATCAACCACCTTCAAAGAGAGCAAAGATCAAAGTATGTAGCAAATATAATTTGCCACATCTTGGACTTCTTCAACATATGAAGACCGCTCCTCGTGGAACTCGTCTCTAGAAGAGGAGGTAATTTCATGGAAATATATAAATATTCTAATAAATACCTATTTGATTAGATAGAAATAGATAAAAATAGATAAAAGTAGGTTAATATCATAAGACCTTTTAGAAAAGCTTCCTAAAAGCTACATGGATGTTGAGTTTACATGTGTTTGTAGTTGATTGGTAGATTAGAAACTTAGTCAACAAGCTAACAACGTATTGGTAGCTTGCAAAATAAACTAACTATGTGGTATACATATAGAAAACTTTCCTTGTAAATTAAGATAAGTATCTTATAAAGTCAACACATTTTAGAGGTCCTATAGGACATTGCAACATAACTCCTAATTAAGAGTATGTATGGAAGCAAGAGTGAAGCCTTCTTCACTCTTGTGAATACTTTTTTAGTCTTTAGTCTTATTTCAAGATTTTCTAGTCTTTTTGTTTTTTGCAATAGCCATTCTAATTCAATATTATATCATCTTTGAGTGACTTTTTAGTTCTTTTTAAAGATACAAAAGTGTGTTGAGGATTTTCTTTCTTTGAGATTCATATGCTTGACAAGTAATTAAGAAGACACAAAAAAAAAGTATCAAATTATGGATTTAAAATTCTATTTAGATTAAGATAAGAAAAACTAAAAGTAGTATAGTAATGCCAATAGTAGCTTTATTTATATAAAATTAGAATATTTTGTTTAAAATTTCTAGAAAAATAAGAAGGTAGAAAGGAGAATAAAAATAACACGTAAGATAAGTGTCAAAGATAAGATTATGCATTCATGGCTAAATACAGGATCTTTATGGCTGCCATGTCAAGTTAGATTGTAGATTTAAAAGTATCTATCTTATTTGGAAATGTTGCTAAGGGCTCTAAACAAGAGAATTTGTTAGAAGATCAATAGAGTATAGAAAGCCATATTTACTTAGTTTATATTAGACAAAGAGAAGTTTAATATATACAAAGAACTTGAAAGAAATTTAATTTATCATAAGTGGCTTAGATCTTTGTAAAATGTGTCAAAATGCAATGTAACTTGCATGTAAAAGATGCATACAAGACAAACAATAAACGACCTCCTTTACATGTGATGTAATAATACATACTACTAATTTGTTGGAGATTTTTAATTTGATGTATGTGGACATAGGAATACCACATGTATAGAAAGAATAAAGATTTTTTCTACTTTTATCGATGATTTTTTAAAAACTATTTAGATCCACATTCTTAAAGCAAAGAATAAGTGATTTTGAAGGTTTAAAGAATTTAAAGCTTTTATTAAAAAATAAAGTGGATCTAAGATCAAGGTATTATATATAGATAATAGAAATAAATATATATCAAAGAAATTTGATATTTATTTAAATAATAAAGTAATTCTTAAAAAAACCATAATTTTATATATTCTACAATAAAATAATATTGTTCAAAGATCAAATTGTATTAATATGGAGATTGCAAGGAACATGGTTCTTATTTTAAACTTTTATTATGTGTTTTGAGGTGAAGTCATTATTAATGAATTTTATATGAAGAATAGGCATCTAATAAGTGTTATTACATCAATGATGGCACAACAAGCTTAGAGTAATAGAAAACCTTGTATTTCATATATGAAGATTTTTATATGCATCATATATGTTCAAACTTGTATGAAGTTCAAACTTGATACAAAAAGAACAAAGTATGTGATTATGGATTATTATGAAGATACCAAGGTATATAAACTAACATGTTTGAAAAGCAAAAAGATCTTCAAAAGTTGTGATGTTGAATTTTTGAAGTATAATAGTACTTGTGAAAAGTTGGAGATGTATCCAAGTGAAAGAAAAAAATATATATTTTTGGACATATCTTTAAATGGGAAGTAAAAGGAAAAATAATAATAATAATAATAAAATACACAACAACAACAACAACAACAATGATATTAGATAAAAAAAAAAGAACCTAACACTTTTAAGAATAAAGCTTTATCAATTGAAAAAACCATCAAAAATAAATTATAAATAAAAGAAGATGTAATATACAAATATCAACATTTAATTGGAAGAAGATATTCTTTGATAAAAAAGATGCTTGTTAGAAATAATGATCTCCAACAAGATTAACCTTTATTAGGTAAAAAGAGATATTCTATAAAGAAAAGAAGGCCATATTTTAAAATTACATTTTCAATACCAAAACACAGATTATGTTTTATGCATGAGTATGTATGCATATATATAGATATATGCATACAGGATATTATAATTGATGGAGAAAGCAATGAGTTTTTTAAGAAAAATTGCCAAAAAAGAAATGTTATATTTGTATACACATATTTGTAAAGTTGGACCCACAATCCCAAGAGCACAAGGTTTCATGATTTCAAAGAAATAAGGAATCCATTAAATCTCCACATGCACCCATTGAAACATGTTTTAAAACCATGTTTTCACACAATCCAACAGAACCATCAGCTCACCAAAAAAAAAAAATGTAAAAAAAAAAAAAAAAAAAAAAACAAAAACAACAACAACAATTCTAATGCAACAAAACATGGCACCTCTTCAGCTAGAATGCGATTCTCACTCCTGAACCCTTCTAGGGGCTCCGAATCCATCAAAGTAGAGGCACAGAATTCAACACCAACATGGTGAAACATCGGCGTTGCAGCAGCAGCATCACATGCTAGAAAGTGTGGTGTCGGTGTGAAGGTGGGCGAAATTGGTGGTGGATTTTGCAGCAGCGGCGGCAGCACAGCATCATTGGGTGGCGGCAGGTGTTGTGTGTAGCTGAAGACAACAACGCTGCTTGTTCGTTAGTTAGTTTGTTTGTTTTGTCAGTTTGTTTGTTAGTTAGATTGCTAGTTTGTTTGTTTGGTGTTGTGGACGGCATTGATGAGAGGATGTCATGCTTGGTTGCAGCTCATCTCAGCCCCTCCATCCATACACACTCACACACTCTCACACTCGCTCTCACACTCACATACACCCCACAATGGCGGCCCATTTGACATGTCCCACAAGTTGATAGGAGAGCCTCAGATATGCCTGGTAGCTGTCTTTCCCGTCCTCCTCCAGAACATCATCCCGTCGCAGTCCCATTATGAGCATGCTTTGGCGCTATTTCTCCCTCCGGACCCACCCTCCCTCCCTCCCTACTCACTTCCCACACTCGACGTCTCTCCATCGATCCTGTGCAACCAGAGAATTGTTGTGGCTTTTTTCCTTACCCGCGCCATAATGCGAAGTGGCTGCTTACCAGTGCAAGTATGACAGAGATTTCATACCTTCGGGATAGTGCCTTTCGACTTCCGTGTGAGGAGAGCTGGTTTTTTCGCTGGACATAGATCTATCTGTTAGGTCTAGAATAAGCTAACTTTGTGTTCGGCAATGCAAGAGTTGGTCACTTGTACTGTTTCGACGGAGAAGAATGAACTAGGGCAATGATGGGTGTGTAACAGGAAGACGAGTACAGCACTTCGGAGATGGAAAAAACTGATCCCTAGTGGTGAATGCAACTGGTGTGCACACCTCACACTGCACCCATACTAGACACGAGGGCACAACAACCCTTGTATACACAAATGTGGATTTAATCAAGAAATTGACTGATTATAGAGGGTTTTTCATACAATTGGAAATGCCCGAGGTATCTAATCCTGCTACCACTACAGAGCCTCTGGTCGCGCCGCGTTAGAGCCACGATGAACAGTAGATTTGATGTCACCTCAACGCAAGGTTGAAGTGTTGGCTTATGACGGTTCCGCCCTTCGTAACAGTGGAGGTCAGGAGCATTTTCTTTTGAAAACGATGAACATGTGGTATTGGAAGACTTGCCGTGGAATTGCTTGAATCACGGCTGCCTGCCCCATGTTTTACTTTAAGTAAAAACCCTCTTCGCAGCATGTGCACCGGAAACTACGAAATTGGTGTGCGCACTCACATTGCTCAGATGCGTCCCTGGAATGGCAGAATCTGGCAGGGGAATGACAACATCAATAGCTTAGAGCGGAAGACCGGAAGGCTAGCAGAGGTGTATGACTCTACAATCGCAGGCGAAGCATTAAGTCTCGCGTTTCGGATTGTAGGGTCACACACCCTTGTTCGACCTCGAGTCTAGTATCCATCGCCGCCGGTGCATTCATTATATTTGCGCCATTCACTGGCTCGTCTCCCCTGCAACAGTACCACAACTCAGCTTCCTGTCGACCAGGACCTTTCCAGAAACCCAGTGAGATTGATCAGATGAAACGCAAGCAATCCATGGCTAATTAGACCCCCACATGACTCCAAAACTGCACAAACCTTTAGCGCAGTTCGCAGAGAACATCGAAAGAACAAGTTGAATGATAAGTGCTTTCGCAAAATGCGTTAGCGTGATATGCAACAGCAGCTGGAGCAATCGCGAATGAGCATTCATACCACTTGTAATTGAAACTGGTTACAAAAAAGAATACCAAAAACAAATACAAAATGAACACATTCTTCGAATTCATCAGGTTCGCAAGAGATATGAAGTCCGATCACATTCTCTAACAGAGTAGGAGGCTCAGCAGAGATGCACGACTCTACAACCACGTCTCGAGGGGTTCACGGGTAGTAGGGTCAGGCACCCTTGCCGAAGCTCAATGCTGGATACCACTGATCACTCGAGCACGATGTAACCGATCCGATTCGATTGCCACAGCCGCATCCAAGCCAGTCCTCGTCTATGAGATTGCCCATCGCCGTCTCCAACCACCCAGGCAAGAACTAACAGGTCGAAGAATAAGAAGAAGCACAACGAGCAGGAGGCTCGGCAGAGGTGCGTGACTCTACAACCACGTCTCTCCTTGGGTGGGTTCACGGGTAGTAGGGCCAAGCACCCTTGTCGAACCTCCATGCTGCTGACCCACTCACTCACTCACTCACTGGCAAGCAGCAGCTCGACTAAGAGGGAACTGACCGAAATCAGCGCAGCACAATAGAGTGACGACAACATCAATCCGGCCACAGGAAGAGAAAAAAATGGAAACTAGAGCACTGCTAGGACTCCCACTGATCAACACTGAAGGCGCATCGGGCTCGCTTCCATGCAAAAATTCCAGCACGCACATGACGATCGCCCATGAGGGCAATGAGATCAGCCCTGGCAGAGCGCAACAACAGCCCATCTCACTCTCATGACAGCAATGGGCTCCACCCAAGAATGAAGAAGAAGAAGTAGACGAAGACGAAGAAGACGAGGAAGAGAAATACTAAAAACAGCAACTACTACCACTAGAACTATCACAACAGTTGCTGCATCGACAGCAGGCTAAGGCGGGCCACAGCAGGGATGGAGAAGGATGATGAAGAAGCCAGGAATGAGGATGCTACTTATATGGAGCACCCCATGTCAAGCTCCACCCTCTGCAACGGAACCAACCGGTGTGGCTCTAGTACACAGCCACCTCTACACCCTCAATTTCTGTTTTTCTTTTCTCTGTTTTTTTCCTCTCTAACTCTCTCTCTCTCTCTTTTCTTTCTGTTCACAGTTTCTTTCTTTTTTTCTTTCAATTTTCAATCAGGAAAATCCACACCGCGTCGCAAAGTCAGAAGCATGATCCGATCGGGAACGACATGGCACTGACACATGCACATGGGGGGGTGCAACCCCCTGCTTGTCTCGGTCCCCCCTCCCCTCCCCATGTTCCCCTCCCCAACAATCTTAACAACTTCCCACATCGGCAACCCTGCCTGGTGTGTTTTCAGCTGGCATGAGTTGCTCTGCTTTCTCAGGCTGAAAACAGTTAAATCGTAATGAAGGTATAGCAAGCACAAGCCCAAAATGTTGTGTCCCACCCCCTCTTCATTCGTGCACTTACCTGTGTGATTTCTGGTTGCTGTTGTTGTTGTTGTTGTTTTTGCATTGTTTTTAGGTTTTGAGTTTTTGTAGCAAAGGGGAAGTCAGCATTGCAGGAGGAAGGGGGCCCAGTTTCAGGATTGGAGCAACAGCGATGAGGGAGGAAGGAATGGAAGGAATATTATTATTATTTTTATCATTAATGATAATAGTGTAAATGTTGCGAGAAGAATACTGAGAGGGTGAGAAACTAGATCATGGATGAGATGGGTTTATGAAACCACTACTGGGCTGGTGTCCAGACCCAAACACAAACCCTGCCTGACATGAAGATTTGAGGTCCAGCTTCACTCCCAATTTTAGTAAATTGTTGTCTGCTCGTTCTACTTTGTTGTTGCTCTAAAAGCTTCATTGCATGGGGTTGGGGTGTGTGTGTGTAAGGGAGGGGAGTTCAGCTTTAGGCCAAGAAGCAGGAAACCTCCAGTTTTGCCCCCTCCGTGGCACTATTTCGGATATCGTGTGTTTACACAGTTTTGATAGTTATAGAAAGATTGTTTTCTTTGTTTGTTGGTTCATAAAAAATGTCATTTTTGTTTTGTTTGATTTCTCTTTTTTTTTGGCAATACTCGATAATCCGTGGTAGTTTAATATCCTTTCAAATAGATTACAACATTAAATTATTCGATAAAGAGATTGAGGAAACATTCACTTTGAAATAGTGACAATGTTGACATTTTGTGGTGCTTTTTTAGGTTCGGCAGTTGGATTATAATTTTTGCTAATTATTTTATGTATAGTTGTAGAATTAAATGTCTCTATTTATGTACTGACAATAATGAACTTATATTTGTAACATTTATACCAAATTTTATAGTATTGGTTATATGTATTCAATTAAACAATGTTCAAAAGTTTATAAATAAATAATATAATTAATTGTTAGTTTTTGAAAATTTTCAAAAATAGCCCATTATATATAGATTGGAAATATTTATTCCCATTTTTTAAATATCATCCATTTTATTTTATTTTATGTATCATAAATAACTATGAAAATCTGTATTATTTATAATATTTAAACCAAATATTTTGTTATCATAAAAATCCATGATATATCTATGTTATAAATATCATATACATTTGAATTATCACAGATTTTATTTATTTTTCATAAATAATTATCACAGATTTTATTTATATATATATATAATTTCTCTAAATAAAAAGTAATAATTATTTATGACAAAAAATCATTCAAGCATACAGATATAACTATATTTAAAAATTGTATAAAAATACAATACAATCTAATATTAACTATAATCAATATTTCCAGACCTCTATAAACTATTGACATATTATGCAATATATTTATAATAATTTTAATAATCAAAAGATTATAAATTTTAATTGGTTTTTATAACATTTGTTATAAATAGAAAATATCTCTTATTCTTGTAGTTTTAAACTAGTTTATCAAATTATATCAATTTATATCAATTTTTTGAATAAATAATTTATTTCCTCAAAACCAATGGTAGATTTGAATAGTTGATTTTAAAATAGAATTAAAAATATAAATTATACATTCATGTGTACCGAAAAAGAGTTAAATGCACCAACTTCTCTGAAACATTTCTTTTACCTAGAAGTTATATATTTGAAGTAATAAATACACCAATTTTTTCTCAAAAAATATTTTTTTATTATTAATAAGGATATTTGTTTCACAATAAAGGAAATCATTTTTTTATTTAATATAAATTAAAAGTATTAAAAAATAATAAATTCTTACTAAAAAAACACGATTTCGTAAAAAAAAAACAAATTCATGTTAAGATTTTGTCTGTTTTAATTCTAAAGTCATTAAATATATATATATATATATATATATATATGCTTTTCTCCCTTCTTTTCTCTGCATCTTGTCTGAGTCTTGTTTTTGTCTTGAATTTGTGGACTTCTTACAAAAAACATCAATGTGGTAAGTATGATTCATAGTCATAATTTATATAGGATCTAAAAGACTATATATATAATTTTCAACAAATCTAAGATACAATTACTAGTGTCTTAGTTTTATGGGTGGTTTAAATATATCATGATTACAAGAAGGCAAACTAAATCACCACAACCGTTACAGAAACAACCTTAAATGCGTAATTCTCAAAACAATTCAATCCAATTGCAATTCCAATGTTAAAACAATGTATGAACTGAAAATTTGATCACACAAACAATAAGATGTAAGTTTTTTAGAAATTAACTGACCTGCACATTATACCTTAAACTCATCCCTCAACGCATAAATATTCATTCAACCAGTAAACCGAAGTAAAGTAAAATAAAATAAAATAAAAACGTCATTCGTTTAAACAACTATCATCCACTAGCAAACAAATTCCACATAAAAACTGTTATGCAATTGTGGGTACGAAGCAATCAGAGCGGGCAGCATGTGAACGGGCAGTAGCCGCCGCTGCCCGGTCCAGATGCCGGGCACGAGACTCCCTCCCACCCGCCCTCTCTCCTTTCCTCCCTCCCGACCTACCTACCTACCTACTAATCTGGCGTCCTGACCGAAAGGGCAGAGGGAGGTAGGGAGGGAGGGACACAGAGAGAGCATAGATTCGAGAGGGGAGGCATGGGAATTCCCAAAGCCAACCCCAAGCCAAAGCTCTGGACCAGGATCTATTAGAGCCTGATTCTAGAGCCTTCCGTGCCAAGCCAGCCCTGTGGCCCTACTCTGCCAGCTGGCACCCGTTCCGGGCTTCGTGGCGTTTGTCAACGTTCAAGCAGACCGATCAAACACCGGATGAACTATGTTCATCCAGAATTACTTCATCCATCTAATTTGTATTTCCACGTGGAGCAGCCCTACACGGGAATCCCAGTGAATCAATGCGGTTCCTCAAGATACTTCTACTGGCCAGGGCTTTTCAATGGAAAAAGCCTTTCTGGGGCTTTTGGCAGCTCCTTTTGGCAGCCTTTCAAATCCCCGCTCCCTATTCTATAGTACACTGCCAACTTAGCAGCCAGACTTGGCCACCCGGCTTGACCTCGCTGCCGCTAACTTGGCGGGTATCTATCTGTACGGGTCCTTTGTCGAGTGAGCGAAGGGTATCTGTGGACGGGTCTCCCGTAATGGGTATATGATCGGCGGGTCTCTGTCGGAGGGTACGCATGGACGGGTCTCTCGCGGGGTATCTACCCGTTCAACTACAATGCCCCTGACCGAGATATGGCCATGGACTAGCTCCACTGATATTATGTATTAAGGGGAAGCTCTTTATATTTAGGTACATAAACAGGTTTAAATTTATTTTTAAAAAAATCATGTATTAATTCTTATTTATTTAAGTATGCATTCAAGTGGATGCATTGCTTAAATATGTTTTGGAGGCTTCTGATGATATTTTACATAAATAAGTGGTAAAAATACATCAAATCATATAAATCCAACAAACATATTGTAGTTGTAGTTATTGTTCTTGTACTAGAAAATATGTCCATATTTAGATACATGTCATTTTTCAAATCATTCACCTTTTGAATGATTTGACTAATGAATCTTATCATGATAAGCAAACACATCAAAACATATTTTCTACAATCACAAGGTTAATGTTTGAATTTTATAGGATGCATAATTTATTTTATATTACTTCAAATTATGTAATTCAACACACAATGTATTCAACTTTGCTATCATGTATAATAAACCGTATAAAGAAAATATGCATAAAATTTAACTATGTACGTTCAGAAAGATAAATATTTTTACTGTAGTTCATCAAAATGTTTGGCTATATATCGATATATATAGATATATATATATGTTTGGCTATTATAAGCACTACTGGATCGTGTATCAACAAATAATTGTATAATCTTTTTCAAATATATTATGCAGAATTTTGAATAATTATTAATCTAAAGATTTAATTTTATCAATTATAAAATATCAGTATAATATCACTTTCATATACAAGAACAATCAGTACACATGTTTGATATAACTGAATTTAGAAGCTAGAAACCTAACAATATTTGAATTATATATTCCTAAAAATAACATTGATTTTAAAATTTTAAGAACTATTTTTAAAAAATCAATATGATTTAGTAAGTGGAGTTATTGCATGATAGATACAGTAATTAACTATATACATCTTTGCAAAACAATAACTATAAAACTGGTAATTTAAAATTTTAAAATAAGAACCCATAAGACAGGTTATACGACAACAAATGATTCTAATAGAAATAACTTGTAACAAATTACTTTTTTGTGTACATCACTTTAGTCTTTTTTCCCACATTGATGCATGAATTCACACAATTAAATATATATATATATATATATATATGCATTACATTATGAATTTTGGTTAATAAAAAAATAAAAATACCTACAATATATCTATTACGTACAAATTTCAGTGTTTTTTCAACTATTTTTCTAACTCTAAATAACCAGGAAAAATATAAAATAATCAT